GATACGCGACGCGGCAACACTTACATCGCCATATACGCGTCGGTTCTATGTATGCCAAGATGCATGCAACCCGTTGCAGGTGGTAGACTCGCACTGCCATCCGAAACCAATCTTCGATGCGTGGGGCATTGCAAGTTGGCATCAGTTGGTGTCGGGTTCCCGTTTCGAATATAGATCACACAGGCCCGCGTCGCATAGCCATTTGGGCTCGATCGCGATCGATCGCGATCTATCGCGAGGCGCGATCTTTCGCGAGGCGCGACCTATCGCGAGGCGCGAGGCGCGAAGGTTCGGAACTGTCGTCTTATGGCGACGGTTCCGAACCTCCGCGCGGAACTGCAGCACATGTCAGAGTGGGTATCGACACAAATCGCATGTGGTCTGTGCCCATCAGCCGTGGCCCAGCACCAGTACGACAGCCTCCTCATGAAGATCAACAACCTGTCACAGATCAGTACTGACGAGGCGACAGCCTTGGTGAAAACAATCAGGGAGCACTCGCTGAACACTTGGACTCAAGAGAACATCGCACGCTTGTGCCAGAGCGTCGGGACCAAGACAGGCATGTTGTCAATGCCAGGCGGATCCAAGCAATGGCAAGAGATTAGCATTGCATCGAGGGTCTTCACGGCGAGCGAGATCAAATCGCTGAAGAGCGGCGACCTGAGTGAGAAGGCGTGCATACGCCTGGTCGCCGCTCGGTGCAAGCTGATCGGCGCCCACACGCTCTCCGAGAGCTCCAAGGGCAAGATGGCCGCGCTCGTGGCGTGGGGCAGCGGCAAGGGGCATGGGGGCGATTGGCTCAGGCTCCTCGGAGAGGTGAAGGGTGCCATCTCCAAGGCCATCACGTGCAAGGGTTGGTCCACGCTTGGGTACGCCACGGTGTGGAACTTCGACCGCATCGAGGACATGTCGGCTGAGCCGTGGTGGAAATCAGCTTACAAGGACGATGGGCCCGCCTTGGAGGAGATCCAGACGGACGCGCCAGACTACGTGAGGAAGTCGAGCAGGCGTTGCGCGGCGAAGACCTCGCCTGCAGCTGCAGCGCCCCCAATGACAGCCCCAGACCCTACGGCTGGCGGGCAGTTGCAAGTCATGCAGGCCCTGTTCGGTGCACCGCTGTGCGCGGCGCTCTTCGCCAACTCGGCGGCCGCGGCTCTCAGGCCGCCCGAGCCGCCTGCGCAGCCGCGCGTGGAGCTGGAGCCCCCGAAGCCAAAGCTCCCGCCGCGCGAGGAGCCGCAGCAGGAGCCGAAGCTTCCGCCGCGCGAGGAGCCGCGCGATGAGCCGCGCGATGATGAGCCCGAGCCAGACCTGACCGACGAGGAGGAGAAGCTCAGGGCGCTCCTCGCCAAGAAGGCCAAGACCGCCAAGGCGAGGAAGCGCCCCTCCGCGGCTGGCGAAGGCGTCGGTGACGCCGAGGGCGGGGCAGGCGTCGAAGACGCCGAGGGGGCTGTGCCAATGAAGAAGGCGCGGCCCCCTGCCATGCGGCGACCCGCGGCTGCCGTGCCAAAGCCCGCCGTGCTGCCCAAGCCGCCGACGTGCGAGTGCAACGCGCCGTACAGGTGCGGCTACGTGATCTACAAGCCTTCACAGAAGGTGTTCAGGGCCGTTGTGGGGAGGGCAGATCGCCGCGTCCGCTTCGACCGCAATGCGACGATGAATCGCATTGAGGCTTGGAGCGCGGCGCTGGCGTGGATCGACGCCAAGTGTTAGGTGCTCGACGCGGGGAGGGGGAGGACCAGGGGGTTGTTGAGGACCAGCAGGGCTGGGAGCTCGCATCGCAGCTGCAGCGCGGCGGTGGGCGGCGCCACATCGACGAACTCCCTCGTGCTTGTATGACGTTGCACCATGATGTCTAAAACACAAGTCTGTTGCGATCTTTTCATCGCAAGTCGCATGCATCAATATGCAACACTCCTTTCTCTCGCGAGCTACCGTCGCACTTCGTATGCATCACTATGCACCTACATGTCCTTCTGATGCGACGTCGTATCATGCCATATGCATCGTTATGCAACGTGCACTTCTGTTGTGATCTATCGCCTCGCTGCATTCAGATGCATCATGCAGCGTGCCCCTACCATAACGCGACGCATGCATCCTATGATGCGCATTGGCATCGTTATCGAGTCTGTAGCCATTTGGGCTGAAACCATGGCCGCGTCCGCCGCCAGGAAACGCAAGGCGGATGAGGCGCTGGTGGAGCTCCACAGGGGCTCATACCTGTCACAGCGTGCTCTGTCGGGTGTCCTAAAATATGTGCGAGACCATGGGTTGCCCGACAATATTTCACGGAGCTCACAATACAGGGCAAACGAAAACATCATTGCCAAAGAGTCGAACGCATATGGGAACGTCTTGCGTTGCATAGACACGCCTTTAGTCAGTGGTAGAACTTTCGAGAACTGGGTGTGCTGTCCTGGGCCATTTTTGTATTCCTGCTGCAAGGCTAGCGCTCCAGTCAGGGAGATGTTTCGCCGCTCACTTCAGGAGCACCCATGCAGCTTGGCGTCGCCGTGGCACATCATTTTATATTTCGATGGTATTTCACCGCGAGACCCCCTGGCGAAGGGGAAAGATTATCGGGGGGTTGATGCTGTTTACTGGTCGTTCGCTGAGTTCGACGAGTCCTTGGGTAACGAAGATGCGTGGTTCACGCTTAGCACTGCGCGGTGCGCAAAAATAAAAAGCATCCCAGGTGGCATCGGGCAGTGCATCAAGATGACCCTCAAAGAAGTTTTTTTTAATTATGCTGGTGGTTTCAATTTTGAGACGAGCGGTGTTACATTAGACGTGTCAGAGAACGGCGACGCAACGTCGCACGCGACGATCGTCGCGAAGCTGTCGTGCGTCATAGGGGACGAAGAGGCATTGCGGGAACTACACATGAACAAAGGGCACGCTGGTTCCAAACCCTGTGCGTTATGTCGCAACGTCTTGAATAGAAAGTTTGATTATTTGACATATGATGTATCTGGTTTCTTTGTGACAGACGCGTGCTTGGATGCGTCAAAGATACGCAGAAACGATGACGCGACAATCATCGCGATCCTGGAACGACTTCGGCCCGATTGGGATAAATATCAGCGGGGGGAGTTTTCAGAGGGGCAGTACACGACCATCACACAGCACAAAGGATGGAACTTCCACCCCGAACACATAGCGCTGGACCCAGGTTTGCGATATCTCCCTGCGTCATTCATTTGCTTTGACTGGATGCATATTTATTTTGTGTCTGGTATATTCGACAGAGAAGTAAAAGCACTTTTAGGGCATGCGCAGTTCAAGTGTTTGTGTGATGCAATGGAGTTGCATGAGTATTTCATGAAGTGGACGTGGCCGAGTAAACACCACTCAGCCGCAACTGTATGGGAGACTGGTGAGCTCCAAGCAAGTGCCTCAGAAGAGATCTCTGCGTTGCCTGTTTTGTGCAGGTATATTCGGCAAGTAATTGCCATGCATCCTTCATCGGATCAAGTGGCCCCCCAGATCGCAAGTATGCTGGCATTGCAAGATGCCGTTGACATAATCATCACGGCGGCGCGGCGGCTTCCAGTCACGACCGCGCAGATAGAGTCAGCGATAGTGAAACATCTTCGGTGCCATCAGGACGCATATGGTGAAAGCTATTGGGTGTATAAGCACCATATGGCAACACATTTGCCAGAAATGTTTGAAAAACATGGGTCGCTCAGTTGCTTTGTCCAGGAACGCAAGCACAAAAACGTAAAACGTTTCGCCAAAGACCACATGTGCAAGAAGGGGCCAGAGAAGGCTCTCATGGTCCAACTCACTGCGCAGCACGCGCACGATTTAAAGACCATGCGTGTTTCACCTGGCTTAGTCGACCCAACGAAAGCAACACAGAAGCTGCTGAATGCGTTGAAACGCATGTGCCCTGGGACGCAGACAGCCGTCTCCAGCATCGAAGCCATGACAGATTTCGGCCGCATCAAGCGCGGTGATATCGTACTTCTGGGGTCGGGCGGGATGCATGCAGCAATGCAAGTGTGGTTTCACGTGAAATGCGACGATGGCGAGTCGCAGGTGCTTGTCCAGCAGCTTGCAACTAAGCATGTGAACGCCGCTGAAGGTTTTTCCAGACACATCTTTTTAGATGATACAGACCCTGTTCTGATGCCTCTGACCTCGCTGAAAGCTCCTGTGATTTACAGGAAAATAGAGAACGACATCACGTGCATTTGGCCAGTAGAATACAAATCGCGATGTTGCTAACATGATGCGCTGCGGACCGTCGCGTTTGCCCCAGGACGATAAAAACATCTGAAGGCCCCTGAGCAGATCCAAATCGACGAAGCGCCCAATCATGATGCCCCAATTTCCAACTACATGAGATGCAAAAACATAACATAAACATTAAAAAAAAAACAGCTTCAAACTGGCCAAACCTAACTAGTTATAACTCCGTTAATAACAATTAGAAGTTCCGCTAACTGTTACTAACTACGCAGGGCCTTCAGGTAGTGACCCCCCCGGTTTTCCGGATCCGGAGGGGGGGGGGGGGGAAGGGGTTCGAACCGGTAGTGACCCCCCCCGGTTTTCGAGCGGAGGGGGGAGGGGGGGGGAGGGGTTAGGGGAGGGGGGGGGGGGGAGGGGGGGGGGGGGGGGGGGGGGGGGGAGGGTTCCAGCAGGGGGGGGGGGGGATTTTCGGAGGGGGGGTGGGGGGGCGACCCCCGGGTTCCGGAGGAAAAGGTTGGCAATTTTCCACAGTAAAGCGGCGGTGGATCACGCTCTCTCTAAGATTGTCATCGCCTTTTGGCGTGTCAGTCTTAGGGATAGGGATTCCTTCGAGGCTGGTAACCTCTGGACATCCGTCCAACATTCGACTCCATCTCATCCCCGACAGGCCTGGGCAGCTGGGATCCGATGGCTCTGCTGGATGGGCAGGCCTGCGCTGCCCGTGCCCTTTCTTGCCCAAGCTTTCCCGCCTGCCCAGGCATCGTAGCGGAGGGGGCCTTGGCTGGCCGCCGCCGCCCAGGATGCTGTTGGACACCCGGCTACCGGCCGAGGCCACGTGGGGCGATCCCGGCTGTCTTGCCGGCCGAGCCCGCGACGCGCCCGCCAGCCGGGCCGATGCGCGCAGCCACCTCCACCGCTCCTCGACGGAGCACCGGCCCCTGGCGGAGGCGGCCGGCCTGGAGCACGCGCTGAGATCCTCCCCCGCGATCCTGGCGAGCTCGATGCGGCGCACGCCGCAGGCGCTCCCGGTTCGGCTCGCCGGCTTCTCCGGCTGCGAGTCCCTGAGGGATGCCAGGGTCTCGTCCATCAAGAGCTCGGTGAGCGTCGCCACGTTTTCCCCGCTGGGCCGCGACGCGAGCCCCGCCTTTCTGCGGGTGGGCGACTGGACCTTCCACGGCAGCATGACCACCATCTACGACGGCTCGGCCGGCTTGTCCAACAGCTGCGTCCAGATGGGGAGGGCAGTGTCCGTGAACAGCGCCGGCAGCCGCAGCGACATGCTCGTGGCCGTCAAGACGGTGGCTCTCGACAGCGACGAGGACAGCGTCAAGATGATTAGAAGAGAGCAGGCGGTTCTTGCCGACCTCGGGGACAGCCACCCGCACATCCTGCCCATGCTGTGCTTCACGGAGACCAGCACCGACCTCGTCCTGCTGACGCGCTTCGCCTCCGCTGGGGACCTGGCGAGCTACATGCCGAGGAACTCACCAGTGGCGGAGGGCGAGGTCAGGAAGCTCGCTCGGCAGCTCCTCTCTGCTCTCTCCTTCCTGCACGGGCGCCGAATTGTCCACGGCGACATCAAGCCCCCCAACGTGTTCCTCACCGAGTTCGACGAAGCCGGCATGCTTGCACAGGTGTCGGATTTCGGCCTCTCCGCCAGGGTCCCCGACGGCCAGAGCGTCGTCCGCGTGGACGGCGTGCAGGGGTCCTACGGCTTTGTGCCCGCGGAGGTGATCGACAGGGGCGAGCTCGGCTTTGCGGCCGACCTGTTCGCGCTGGGCGTGATGGCCTTCCGCTACCTGGGGGGCCACGACCCCTTCTTTCCCCCGTCCAGGGTCCACGACGCCATTCGAAGAATAAAAAGCGACACAACCATAAACTTTTTGAGGTCCGCGCGGGTTTCTTGGATCGGCGCTGGGCCCCCCTCCTTGGCGCCGGGAGCGCGCCAGGAGCGGCGCCCGGGGCGCCGCCAGGGGGGCCCATCGCCGATCCAGGACATCCGCGCGGAGCTCCGAAAGTTTATGCTCACGCCGTTCTTTGTCCCTCCAGCCATAGAGTTCGACAGCAGGTCCTGGGCGCTGGTGTCGGCCAGCGCGCGGGCGTTTGCCGTGCGGCTGCTGAGCTCGGAGCCAGAGGCCCGCGGCGAGGCGGCGGCCCTCTGCGCCGACCCCTGGATGGTCGCCGCGGACACGGCGGGGGAGGCTGCCGGGCCCGCGTCGGCCGACGAGGAGGTCCGCTTCATGGGCCTCGCCCACGCGCGCGAGGTCTGGGAGCGGGGGGACCTCTCGTGACGGCGCGCGATCGGCCTGGGGCGAGCCTGGTGTTCGATTACGTGTCAGAGTGATGACCCTTCGCTGGAGTGACTTTTGGGGCGGGCCCACTTGGGCCCCCCAGTCGCTGAATGCGATGCGATAGCAGCGGCCTGCGCGCTTGGCTTTGGCCCCCTCGCGCCTCCCCAAAAGCTGCGCACCAGAGGTCACTCTTGCCCAGGGTCGCTCTTACGGGCAGTCGAGGTGTGCAGAGGTCGGGCCGTGGGCGCGCTTCGCGCCGGAGAGGGGGTTCGGTCGGGCTTGTGCAGCTTTTTCGGAGAATCGCACGGCCCTCTCCGTGAGGACGCGATGGCAGCGTGCGGCAGGTTCTCTCGAAGTTAGGGCGGTTTGCGCAAGCGGTGACGGTTTTGCACACCTTTTCGCTGTTATTCGCTGGTGAGGCGTTTTCTTTGCAACACGCTTTGCCTGCTCCCGGCGGTGACGCCAGTGAGCCGCCGCACCCGCAGCCACAAGGGGCATGCGTGGACGATCGGCCTGGCAGTGCTCTTCTGGGCTGCTCCTCGCCAGTTCCACCGTCGGCGGCATTTGTTTCCTGTCGATGCCCTTGCACGTTTAGTCGTCTTGATGCTGTAGCGCTACAGGCTTGCCCATTTGTGAGGATCAGCCGTTCGAGCGACGCCGAAAAGACAGCACACATGTTTTGACCAAGCAGGAATGTTCGCCTATATCAGAGGAGTGCCAGTATTGCAGAGGGAAGCGGTGCCTGCCGCATGTCAGTTCTAGCGTCGCCAACGGCATTTCATGGCAATGGTCGGGGACTGTCTGTCTTTGTGTATGATGTCGTCTCCAACGACTCCACAGTCCAGCATGTGGATGAACTCTGGTGGCTCTCGCACAGCATGGCACTCAGAACCTGACCGCGCTGGAAGAAGCATGTCCCCGAGATTCGCCTGATAGGCTGGAGGACCTCTGAGAGCATCTTGTGAATGGAATGGTTTGCATCGGTGTATTTAGGCTTGCCGGATGTATGTGCTTGCCAGCTCCACCAATGTTTCTGAAGGGTATGGCAGAGGGAGGGGGAGAAGGTTCGTTGTCAAGCACGTGCATGTCCATCCCTTTCTGGTCAGCCTCTGCATATCCACACATGTTCTGTCGGCAGGCTCCTCGGGCGATGGGTAGCGCGGAGCGGCACGCAGTGAAGCGCGAATTGGGCCACAGCAGTAGGGTGGAGGAAGGCTCCGCCGTAGATTACCAGCCTGGAACATATCCCTATCCCTATGCTGGGTACCTCCTCATCACGATGCCAATCTTAGGGATTCCCTCATCTTTTGAGGGCGAATCCCTAAGATTGTCATCGCCCTTTGGCGTGTCAATCTTAGGGATAGGGATACGTTCGTGGCTGGTCAATAGAGCAGGAGGCAGGAGGAAGGGGGAGGGCGCCAGGCAGGCGGGCCGGGGCCGCGGCCTCGGCTCCTCAACGCCGGAGGTCTATAATCGGGAGCGGCAAGGAGGGGGGTGATGACTAGGGGGGGGGATATCATGGCGGGGGCCATGATATTTCCTCAGACTTCATGGCGCCTCTTCTCATTCCATGGCGTCCCTGGCCCCCCCTCTGGGCCGCGCACATGCCGCCGGTCATGATCTGCACCTCCCCCTCTTGGACACCCCCCTCTTGGCCGCTCCCGATATAACAGGCTCGGTCACCGCTCGGCGCCTGGCGTGCCACACTCGGTCGGGTGCAGGCCGCGCAGGCATCAGGAGGAAATGAAACACACAGACACAATTAATCGTCGATTCCCCAGAAAATATAAGAAAATATGGGAAGTGGGGGGGGGAAGACAAAAACCCAGAAAATATGGGAACATATAGGGAATATTTTTATTAGTGCGTATTTATTTGTGTGTCCTGTGGCCCCTTCAAAGCAGCACGATCGCTGGGGCCAGAAGCCTCGGGAGGCAGCGGGCGGAGGCCCTGGTGCACGCCAGGGGGAGGGGCCAGGCCCCAGGAGCTGCAGGACGGCCACTCACCACCCACCAAACCACCCCAACCCAACCCGAAGGCTCAGATTTACCTTCGATTTCCAGTGGGGGGGGGTTCGGGAAACATCGAACAAACACATGTGGAACCCTTACCCCCCTCCAACCCGAAATTCGGGTCTTCGGGTTGGGTTGGGGTGGTCTGGTAGGTAGTCAGCCACGGGGCAGGAGAGCGATCGCGTCACGAGTGGCGCCGCCGCCTGTGTGGTCCTTCCCGGGAGCCTCAAAGGGGGGTTCTAGAGTGCCTCGCTGTTCGGGAGATTTCGTCCATATGCCGTCGGATTTGAGCGACGTTTGGACGAAATCTGGACGAAATCGGCCGACCCCGTCGGCGTGTGCGAGGGGTTTGTCTGTTCGACTCGTCGTCTCCGTCAGTCAGTCGTCTGCGTCGCTCCCTTTCCCTGCACCCCTCCTCATGCCTGTCAGCGAGAGAAGAGCCTCGCAATGTCGTGATCGAATCGAAGGGAAGCCCCTTCCCTTTGATCGCGGTCCGTCCCAGGGGGTTCCTGGGGGAGCTCGCCACCCAGATACGTTTTACCCCCCGCCGTCCCGGAACCCCCGCGCGGTTCCAGAAGCCCACAGAAGTCCCCAGGAATTCTTCTTCCAAGACTCTTCCACAGGGTGCCCATTGGGGCCCCAAGAGGCCTCCAAAGATACTCCCGAGAGAGCCCCAAGAGGCAAAAATCATTGATTTCCCGTAGGTTTTTGACAGATTTGGGCGTCCTCGCTTTTTCTACTTCCCGCCACCCTAAGACAGTCGACGAGGCCCTCAAGATCGTCCCAAGACGGCCCAAGAGGCTTCCAAGAGCGCTCCAAAAAATTCCAAAAGAACCCCAAGACAGCCCAAAACGCATCCAAGACGGCCCAAGAGGCCCCCAAGATGGCTCAAAGAGCGTGCCCAGACGGGGAACCCGAACGGACATTTCGAGCCCTCGGCCCGGAGAAGCTCTCAGGAGGCCCTAAGAAGTTCCGAAAAGGCCGCAAGAAGCCCACAAGAGGCCCCCAGGACACCCGAGAAGGCCCCCAAGAGGCCCCCAAGAGAACCCATAATTCCGCCCCCAGAGGCCCCCGAGAGCCTTCCCAAGAGACCCCAAGAGGCATTCCTGAGGACTCGGGCCCACGTCAGCGTTGTCGTCGTCGCCGCCGCCACCGCCGCCGTTGTCGACGACGTCCCCCTTCAGGGTCGGCGGCGCCAGCCGTAAGGCTTTTGCAATCTGGACGGAAATTTTGTAGAGGAGCGGTCGAGATCTGGACGAAATCTGGTCGAAACCAAGTCATAATGAGGCGCGGATGTCCACAGAGGCCCCCTTCGCTGAAGTCGGGCGTGTCCCCCTACAGGGGGATTTTTGACGAAAAATAAAAAATACCGCAAAAATAATCAAACAGTAGTCCAGAAATGGTTTGGGGACTATTTTTTGACTATTGTTTAGCCTTTTGGGGGCTTTTTTGGTGTATTTTGCATTTTTCGTCCAAAATCCCCCTGTAGGGGGACATGCCCGACTTAATCCTGGCGCGCGGAGCGCGCTAGTGGCGGCGCCGGAGGCGCCGCCATGGGGCTCCAGCGCCGATCCATGAATCCGCACGGACCTCCAAAAGTTTATGTTTATGCTGTTTCTTGTTCCTCCAATCCACACGTGGCTGGTAAGCTTTTGTCGAACACGCCTGTGGTGAGTCACCCCCACCCTCTGTCGCCGAGGAGGGTCCTCTTGGGGCCACCTCTAACGTAGCGTCTCGCTAGAGGCTCCCCATGATCCCCCATGATCGCTCCTTGGGGGGTCACTTGCTTTTATCTTGGATGCTTCTGCAGTGCCAGCGCCGTGCGTTTCCGCGTGCCCGTTCGAAGATGGTGCGTCCCATGTCTACGCAGTGGTGTGTCACAAACCTGTCAAGGTTCACTCCGTGAGTGGCCGCTCCACGCAATGGTGCGTTCCATTCGGTGCCAGGTGCTTTACGTGCGTGCCAACTCGAGGAGGGTGCATCCCAGGTCCAGAAAGCCTTGCGCTCCAAGCCCAGAACGTGTAAAAGGGCGTAGGCTTGGGAGACATGCTACATGGGCAGAGGATGTTCACACGTCCACGTCTCCCAGGTCCAGAGAGCGTGGCAGGTGTATTTGGTTCTCAGTGTTCCAGGTCTCCCACGTCCAGAAAGTGTTGCAAGGGCACGGGATCCTCACCACCCCAGCTCTTCTCCCAGAGAGCCTCCCCAGCGCACGTGATTCACAAAGGTCCAGGCCTCTGACCTCCAGAAGGTGCGGCAGGGGTGCGTGGCTCTCAGCATTCCAGCTCTCCGTTGTCCAGAGCGCGGCATGGGCAAGGGGGCCCCGTCATTCTAGGTATCCCAGGTCCAGAGAGGGCATGATGATGGGACTCTCGTCACTCCAGGCCTCCCAGGCTTAGAAAGTGCAGCAGGGGCAGAGGGATTTCCCAGGGCCGGAGACCGCGGCAGAGGCACAGGATGTTCACGTTCACCAACCATTGACGGTCCCCCAGTTCCACTATCAAAATTTGGAATACACCCAGATTATGGGAGAATGCGAGATCCGCACTGCAGCATTAGTATCATGCTTTTAGGGTGGTCTGCTGGGGTAATGAGACTCTCTTGGGCCCCCCCTGGAACATCTTGAAGACATCTGGGGTCGCTTTTGGGACGTCTCAGAGCTTTCTTAGGCCGTCTTGGGAGCTTTTTCGTCGTCTTGGGGGGTTATGGGCCTTCATGGGGGCTCATCTGGGGGCTCTCTTGGTGGCCGTCTTTGGGCAATGTTGGGGCTCTCTTGAGACCGTTTGAGGTGTTCTTGGGGCCCTCCGAAGCCCCCATGGACCCACCTCGAACCGAAAAGCCTGGAGGCCACAGTTTCTAGGAAACCATTTCGATAATCGTCGCGCCCTAGGGGTCCAATGGGGGCCCTCCTGGGGGGCGTCTGGAGCCGTCTTGGAAGCCTTGTGGGGCCCGCGTGGGCCGTCCTGGACCACTTTGGCACCGTTCTGAGCCATCTGATACCCTCTTCGGGATATGTGAGGCCGTCTTGGGCTCCTTCTGACCTGTCTTGGGGGCTGCTTCGATGATCTGGTCGGTCTTGGAGATGGGAGATGGTGGGCCAGCAACGCATGCCGAAAAGCTGGTGGGGAGGTTTGGAGAGCCCAGCCACAGGCGATTTATACTCCAGAAAACCGAGCCCCCCTGTGAACCCAGGGGGCGGCAGATCCAGCGGCTCACCTCTGCGCCCGGCCTGTGGGCTGCGGCCGCAACGGAACCCGTCAGAGCCAACGAAGCATTCCCCTGTCATGCTCTTGCGGAGCCTCGACTGAAGGCTTGGTTGGTGCTGCCGGTTTTCTAACTTAACTGGAGCTGTAGATCAGCTACAGAGCTGACAGGCACACCTAACCCATATAGAATCATCAGGCGTACTAGTCTCAAGTATCTAGATGCCCGAACTCAGTCTGTTGCCAGAGCTGGACCCAACACACTATTCGTAATCTGCTATTTTTAAAAGAGATGCCAGGCGCCAAAAGAATAATACCGGGACGCGGGCCTCGTCGGCACCTGCTTGTGAGGCCTCATAGGGGGGCCTTTCGGAGTCCTCTTGGGGCGCTCGGGCGCGCCTCTCGGGGGCCTCCTGCGGGCTCCCAGAGGAGCCCTCTGGAGCGTGTGTGGGGGCTTGTTGGGAGCAACGGCCGGGGCCACCTGTGGGTGAGAGGGCGGATTCCCGGCCGCCTGTTTCCGGGGCGCGGTCGCGTTCGCCCCTTTTGGAGCCCTTTCGGGCGCTCCTGGACCCGAACAGGCCAGAAGGGCAAACTATCCACAGCCCACGCAGACGCGGATACGATTGCCGCGGGCCCACTTGACGTCACCGCATGAGACCCGCCCGGGCCTTTGCTGCGCCCCCCCCCCGCCCCCTTGACCGAAAGGAGGAAGAGAAGGAGGAAGGGGGAGAACACACGCGCTACGACGTTTTCTCGCTCCGAGCCAGACAGCACGCGTGCGACCTGAAACGGATTCGCGCGAGCGGCCACTCGCTCGGATAAAGATTACAACAAGTTTCGATGATTTCCTTCAGGGCCCCCAATCATGATTCCTAGAGGCCTCTGAGGAAGTCACGTGGGGAGCCCTGGAGTCCCTGGAATCGCCGCACAGTGCTGGATAAACGAGGTCCGTGGCCATCGACACGCTTCTGAAGTGCTCGCGCACTCAATAATAGTGGGCCGTCAGGGACCTGAGGGTGTTCTTTTGCGTGCCGCGGGCACGGAGGTGGATAGCGCAATGTGATTGGCAACTACGACAGGCTGAGTTACAGGGCTGGACCTAAACGGTGTTTTGGCGATTTCGTGGGCCGTTCTCGTCTCGACCTCGTTTTGCGGTAGAGGTGGACTGAGTACAAAAATCGAAGGAACACGAAAACAACACGAAACGAAAAACACAGGGTAGGTTCAAGTCGGGCGTGTCCCCCTACAGGGGGGTTTTCGACGAAAAATAAAAAGTACCCCAAACATAGTCAAAACATGATCCAAAAATAGTCAGGGGACTATTTTTTGAGTATTTTTTGACCTTTTTGGGGTATGTTTGGGATTTTTGTATTTTTCATCGAAAATCCCCCTGTAGGGGGACACGCCCGACTTCAGGGTAGGCTCCGCCCTGCTGAGTTACAGTCGGGGCCCTGAAGAAGGAACCCTTTTCGTTGGGGAGGGGCTCCGCGTTCCTCAATTGCTTCGCAGCTTGCCCGGGATTTTCCTTAGGTTTTTTCGATACGAGATCGAAGTCCAACTCATGGAAAACAGGGGCCTCGTTCCTTATTTTTGGGTTCCTTAGGTCAACGCCCCGACTGTACGCCAGCCTGGCGTGGCCAGGGAGGCAGAGTCGCCGATCCCCTGGGTTCAGGATCGGCCTGGCCAGGGTCGGTACACAGGCCTCCGACTGTCGCCCCCTCCCCCCCCCCGGCTCCTCCTCCTCCTCCTCCTCCTCCTCCTCCTCCGCCCCCCCCCAGTTCCCCCCCTCCCCCCCCCAGTTCCTCCTCTTCCTCCCCGACTGTATACCCGTGGAAGCATCAGCGTCCCAGCAGGGAGCACGCACGCGCACGCTCGTGCGCCAGCGCCCGCCCCGGAAGCGGCGCGGCAGGCGAGGCGAGACCCGGGCGCGGGGTCCATGGGGCGGGCTTCGGGAGGGAAGAAGCCCACAGGCACAATGAAGCGTCGATTCCCCAGAAGAGATTGGAGGAAGAGGGAGGGAGGGGGGGAGGAGGAGGAGGAGGAAGAAGAGGGGAGGGAGGAGGGGAACAGGGGGGGGAAGAGGAGGGGAGGGAGGGGAGAGGAAGAAGGGGGAGGGAGGGAGGGAGAGAGGGATCGTCGCCCGCATTGAGGCGAGGGAGGGGGGGAAGACGAAAGCCCAGAAGATACGGTCCTTTTCATTTGTGTCTATGTCTTTGCGTGTCCCATGGCCCCTTCAGGGAAGTGAAAGCGCAGTTGCGGAGCCAGCGTCGACGTCCGATTACGTTGGGGACGACACTGCTTTGGTCATGCGATGAGGTGTGAGCAAAACCTCCGCGCGGCCGAAGTCACATACCGTCGGCGACATCGAGTCGTATTGTATTCTGTGCGAGATGCGTGGTGCGACGGCCCGTTCCCAGCAGAGCCGTCTGTGATGTGCGAAGCCGTGCGGGCTGAACGAATTATGCGTTTGTTGGGCACGCCTGGCACATCATCAGAAAAAATGGTTGCACTTCGTGTGCAATAGTTACGTCATACGGTGGGGTCATTCTTCAAGGAATGTGCCAGGAGGATTTAGACCCTGGAGGATTCCCTATCTGATGAGGGTGGCGGTGATACCCATGGCCATGCCTCAATCGGTGTTCCACTGGCTTCCCAATCATGTATTCTTTATTTGAGGGTTCCTTATCCAATGCCCTCACCTTCTGTTGTGTAGGTAGTTGCGACGCAGTGTTTCAGATATTGGCCATCGCGTGAGCCTTCCACGCAAGTGCTGTTGCTCCCAGATGCCCTCTCTGCCCAACAGGCTGGGTTGTCTCTTCCAATGTTGGCAGCACGCGGCAATTCGATCTTATTTTTTTGTCTGCTCTAAATGGTACGCCAGAGCTTTACTGTTCACTTGTCCTGCGTTCGGCCCAGCTTGGCCAGACATGCTGCTTACAGTCGTCGATGCTGTTGGCGGTGGGATGGGGGCATGGCGTGACTTGCTTGCTGTAAGGGGGGAAGCAGTATTCGCGTTCGGCCAGGATTTCCTTCACCTTGACGGGCAATCGCGGAACAGTTATGGTTCTTGGTTTCAGCGTGACTACTTGCATGCTCACCTAGCTGAATACAGGGAGCGGCCCCCCCCACACGTCTCTATGCCTAATTGTTGATGGCGTACCGGGAAACCATGCGCTCCAGTTTGCGCTTGTCTGTTTCGATGCCACTCGTGTGCAGCTCCTCTGCTTCTCGGAATGCCCCACTCCTTCCCCCGCTCACGTGCACGTTCATTTGCGGCTTGCCTTCTCAGGATACGCACGTTGCGCACCGGGCACACAGACGGTGCCACGAGCTTGGGTGTGTGAGGCATGGCATGGCATCATCCTGGTCTTGTGCCGCTTTACCGCATTCATCCCATTGCTGCGGCTGCATGTTGTGGAGCCACCGCGCGCAGGACAACCAGCTCGGAAGCACAAGCTCATCTCCAAGAGATTTGTCTCCAAGAGCTGGCCTGAGCAGCAACCCGTTCATGGTATCGACGAATTCATTATTGAGATGGACATCGGATGGGATACAGAGTATTTCCAAGGCAGCGGCGATTTCGGCTGGAATGCAGAGTATGATGCGGCGGACCTCGCTCATGCCGTCGACTTCAGCCCCTTCGAGTCGCTTCCAAGAGGTTACTCTCGCACGTCATTCTGACCGGTCTTATCGACAGTGAAGGCTGCCTGGCTGAAAGTTCAGGGGCGGTGCCCAGAGCGGGTCCTGGGTCAGGGCTCCCCTCCGAGGGGGGGACTGGCGACGCGCGGGAGCTTCCCTTGAGGCCAGTTCCGCCCCCTCGGCCCTGGCCCCTCCCTCAGAGCTGCCCTCCTGGGCTTCTGGCCAGTCGGGAGGGTCGACGAATTCGTGCTCCGTTTTCACCTCGCTGGCTTCACACCTGGTGGGGGCGCCATGGGGGTGGGGGCTGGAAGTTGTCGGCACGCACATCGGGGTTACGGCGGGACGTCCGACCCCCCGCCCCTCGGAAGCTTGTCTCTACCTTCTAGAGAAGGCCCTCTCAGAAGCGTCCCAGACTCGCCACGAAGGCAAATTGGGTCCTGAGGGACATGGCCTTTACTGGACCGCGGAGCTTTCCTCAGGCCCAGTTTTACATGCCGAGTCGTTATTTGATTGTCCTGGTGCCCGTGTAGGGCCCGAGGGGTCCGAACAAGTTCCAGGACGCCATCCTGCATCGTGGGCGAAAATCGTATCCGTATCCGCGGCCTCGCGGGCCAGGCCCCTGGGCCGCGACTCGCGGATACGGGGCGTCTTTTCGTGGATGCCCCCAGCGGCGGAACGTATCCGTGCGACCGCGTATCCGCGCGATCGCGCCTGCGAATTAAGATGGTGAGGGCGCAGATGCGGATCATGCTCGCTGTTCGTGACTGCAGGACTGTCTGCTGCGTGCGACAAGGGGGGCGTCAGAGGATTCGTGTTGCTGCTGCAATGCTCTCATCATTGCCCTCCTCAGAATGGGTGCTCCTGGACACGACCAGGGCAGACCTCGAGCACGTCACCCGAGATCGTATCTCCGTCCATCGCCCTCCCGAGCGCGTGAGGGAGGTGCCACAGCACACACTCAGAGAGTGTTGTGGCTCCGATTCGATTCCGATCCGGCGTGCAGCTCCCGATTTCCGAGCCGATGCGGCGATCGCCGATCTGAGCGCCGATTCCCAAAGATTCTCGACGCGATTCCGACTGCGACCCGGTTTCGCGATTCGATGCTGACCCTTACAGTTGGGGCATTGAGGAAGGAACCCTTTTCGTTGGGGAGGGGCTCTGTGTTCGTTAGTTGTTTTGCAGTTCGCCTTTGGTTTTGCTTAGGGTTTCAACGGGAAATCGAAGTTAAACTTATGGGAAAAAGAGACCTCGTTCCTTATTTAGGGTTCCTTAGGTCAACGCCTCGACTGTACTGCTCTGAGATGGCAGCAGAAGGGGGGCTGCTCAGAGGAAGGCCCCTGCCGCATCTCAGCAGACCGCCCCGTGGCCCGGCCCACTCCTCGAGCGCCGATGGGGGGTAGGGACGAGGTCGGGGCGCCCAGTCTGGGAGGTGGCCGCCTGCAACAAGAGGGAGGAGGGAGGAGGGAGGAGGGAGGAAGGTTCGAACTTCGAACTTCAAGGAGCGAAGCTTTCGTGTGCTTTTCGCCCTTCGGGGGCCTCCTAGGGACTCCTCGTGGTCGCGGCTGGGCTGAGTCCCCTTGGAACTCTTGACGCTTCGCGTATTCTCACCAGCGGTCGCTGCTGCCTGCCGCCTGACCGCGGCCCCGCGCGCGCCCGCCCCCCTACTCGCGGCCGCAGCCCGACCGTGACCGCCTGCCGCTGGCGCTTCCGCCTGCGGCTGTAAAACAAAAAAGTAATCTCACCAGCCTTAATACACGTGCTACCTCCTGGGAGCGAGGTGCACACTCACACTGCGACTCACGCTGTGCTTAGACCCCCACGGTACTCCGTGGGCTCTCAGCCCGTGCGGTCTGGCTGCCATAACCCTGCCCGCGGCTCACTTGGGCCTCACAGGAACACGGGCCCGAGTCGCCTGCCGGGGCGCTCACTTTGGATGGCCGGGGCGGCAGGCCGAAGGCCCCCCGCCATGCGCTCCACACTCCCGAAGACGGCCTTGCCCATGTGGCATTTCCCCCCCCCGCGACGGCGCCACACGCCAACGACACACCGACTTCACGTGTTGGGTCTTCGTCTGGCGGCGTTGACATCCGGCGCTTCCTTCCATGTGTTCAATTTTTTGCGGCTATCGGCTGCGCCTCCTCTCCTCCCCTCCTGTCGCCATCGACGACTGCTGAGGGGTGACGACGTCGTGCAGTGTGGCTCTGGCCTAATACCTTGGGTCACCTCCTGGGGATGAGGTGCTTCCCTCTCAGCACTGCGTGCTGGTGCTGTGCTCGCCTGGGATGGCGGGGGCTTTCGGCCAGAGGCATCTTGCAGGCCCGGCCTTTCCACGTCTTGGCCGTTCCGCTTTTCGGCGCCGTCGCCCTAGAGTACGACTTCCAGTTCATGTGGTGCATACTGTGGCAGGTCCATGCCTCCTCCTGGCCGACGTTTCCCCCCCCCGGCGTTGCCGACCGTTGCTTCCTCCTCTGGGAGTGGTTCCCGCTCGCTGTCGCCATCGACATCTTGCCCTTCTGCGCTGATCAGGTGGTGCACTCCATCCTGCAGTTCCCCCCTGACTGACACTGGGCACGGTGACGTGGTGTCCACCTGCGATTGGACCTGAGTCGGCTCGCCGGCGAGCACCTGGTGCTCCGTGAGTGAGGCAGCCCGCTTTTCCCCCCCTCTTCGTCCCTCCGTCGCCCCGCCCTTCCCCCCCCTCCGTCCTTCCGTCGCCCTGCTCGGCGCCTGGCGTCCTAGTGCTGGTGCAACGTCGCCACGCGCGGCTGCCCGTCTGCCCGTTTTCCCCAATTTGTTCTGCATGTTGCACGAATTATCTGGCTCTGTGCCCCAGTTAGCCTGATTGACGCGCCCTCTGGACTTTTCCTTGCGGGCCGCAGATCAAAAAAGTATTCTCACCAGCCAGCATCGATGCCCAGGCGAATTGCCTTGATCAGGGGAGTGGGTGTGGGGGGGGGGGAACAAAGCGCTGGGGAAGCCGTCGAACCGATGTTTAGGATCCGCCTGGGCAGACCCACGAGTCAAGCACTAGTGATTTGGCGGACCTGCCGAACGAGTACGGGCGGAGGGTACGGATGAGGAACCGGGAGGATAAGTACGAGGATGAGTAGGAGGAAAGGGAGGAGGACGAGGAGGAGGAGGAGGAGGAAGAGGAAGGATAATGGAGGAGTAGGAGACACAGGACGAGGGGGAAGGCGAGCAGAAGGATGATAAGCTTGATTGTACACATTCTAGATTTACTTCTGGTTGATCATGGAGGAGCGGGGGGAGGAGATGCAGAGGAGGAGGAGGAGGACGAGGAGGAGGGGGAGGAGGAGGAACACGGTTGAGGAAGAGGGGGAGAGGAGGAGGGCAACAATGATCGGGGTGAAGGCTATGGTGACGGCATCGACGACGACTAAGACGATTCCAGCATTTTTGAATGTGTTTGCGTACATTTGCTCTGGGCGTCGTTTGGAGACATTTTGGAACCATTTTATGGGGCCTTCTTGGGGCTATTATGGGAGCTTCCGGAGCCCTCTTGAGGGAGCCTTAGGGCCCTCTTGGAGGCGCCAGGAGGCCTCTTGGGGCCATGTTGGAAGACCTCGATTGCAGAGGGGGGTTTTAGTTACGCTTACCCCTTTTGAGCCCCAGCAGTCGTCATTTGGAGCTGTGTTGGGGTTCTCTTGGGGTGCTCTTTGGGGCTCCTGGGCCGTCTTGGGGTCATCTCGGGCTTGTCGTGGGGCCCTCACGGGCCAGATTGGAGCCATCTTGAAACCAAATAATCCCATCGGAAGCGAAACGGCGAGAAGAACCATATCAATTGTATTCTTTAGGTGTTCGACGGATTTGGGTCTATTGAGGCCATCCTTGAGGAACTCCGTGGCCATTTGGAGCTGTCTTGGAGCGGTCTTGGGGCATCCTGGAGGCATGTTGATGGCCATCTTGAGCCATCCTTGGATACCTCAAGTAATCTTGGAGGCCATCTTGGGTTTTTTGAGGGCATCTGGTAGCCATGTTGGCCCCCGAGATGCCCAACTCATTAAACGACAATCGAATATCGAAGGGGCGTCCTCGATTACGTGCGCGCCTGGGCCCCAAACGTCGCCACTTGGGGCCCTCTTGGGGCGTTTTTGGGGGTGTTTTGGAGCGCCCTTGGGTTTCTTGGAGCCCGCTTGGGCCTCTCTTGGGGCCCTCCACTTTCAAGTGGGCTGGGATACGGGCGAGAGGTAACGAGCGTGTGTCCGCGGCCATTTGTACTCAAGCGGCCGGCCGCCCAGATCTGATTACACCTCAGCGCGAGGTGTACCGCTTGCCATCGAGACCAACACATCCTTTGCTTGACATGGCTCGTCGCTCCCGCGACGATCTCCTACTACTGGGACTATCGGTACTATGATACAACAGAGCTGGAGCTGGGCTTCGCCAGAGGCGAAGCTGCTGGTTGGGCCTTCCCACGCTGTTCAAACTTGGTAGCGGAGCTGGCCTATGGTGGTCCGCTCTTGCTCTACTCCTCACCATCCACGGCACTATCTGGTGGACCACTGACGTGGTGGAACATCAAGGTGCAGTGGGTTTGCGCGGAGGAATGTACATAACTACGCAATGTCGCAAGGACACTTGCAGTGATACCTCTGCCTACGCAGAGGCCTCTTACTCGCGTCCTACACCCCTGCGATACTAGACTCCTGAAGTCCACCCGCCTAGTCCAATTGGAAACTTTTTCGAAGACGGAATGCATGGAAACATGCGATACGACATTGTGCCGCCCCCACCCCCACGCAGGCTTACGACCACGCACAACAAGCCCCAACCAACCACATCCGACTACGACCTACGAGGCCATTGGATTGGTATAACTATCTTTGAGCTCACATGGATTGCTATCGGGTGTGCGGTGGGACACATACGTGGCGGAGACGACGCAAGAACCGCTTGCCCCCATTGGGCCCCGGCCGATCAAGTACCTTTCCGCGAATTCGCTCGCGAGGCGCATGCCTGGATCAACGTGACCACAGGCACCATGACGCCTTCCCAACAAGCTGCAGCATTGCAGCGAGGCTTGGAAGGCCTCGCGCGGAC